GATCGGCGGGGCGGCCGCGGACCGTCGACCCGACCCCAAGAGGGACGGACAGGGGACCGACCACGACGACGACGACGACGACGACGACGACGACGACGTCGAAGACGACGGCGACGACGACGACGGCGACGACGAGCGAAAGCGAGAGCGAGAGAGAACGACAGCAGGGCCACGAAGGGCACGAAGTAGGCCACGAAGGGCGACAGCGGGGACACGAAGGGAATGCGTATAGAACCACGAAGAGCGCGAACGAGCGGGGGCCACGAAGTGCAGATAATGCGGGGCCACAGAAGGCAACTATGGGGCCACTGAGGGTAGCAACTGGGCCACGTAGGACAGTGAGGGGGACACAAATGGCGACAGCGGGGCCACGAAGGGCATGCACATGGGGCCACAACGGGCGCGACTCCTGGGTGCCTGGGTGTCGGGAGCGCGGCGCTTGGGCAAATTGCAGGAAATTCCAACGCAAGGCCATTCGTCAGTAAGTTGCAAGCAAGTCTCCAGCGAGAGCGCGACTCCAGAGCGCCGGAAGAGCGATTCCTGCATGAATTGTAAGGAAGTCCCAAGCGAGAGCGCGATTCCTGAATAAAATGCGAGGAAGTCTCGGGCGCAACCGAACAAAACATACAACAGAACGCGTCGCCCGGACAAGCGGTCATCATCGTTTTGAGAATAGCTGATGAAAGGAAAAAAGCACAGCTCGTTCAGAACGAAAAGCCAAAGCTAAAAAACAAAGCACTTGGACATTCGGAGCAAAACATCGTCGCTTTTGGGGTTCAGGCGTTGGGGGCGACCACCAGCTCGGGTGGGGAAGCCAAAAGGTACCGATACCGCTGCTCCCCGGACCTCTCCTGGGGTGCGTTCTGCTCAGAATTTCGAGGCGGACCCGACGGTAGCGACGAGGGCCTCCGAGAGGGCCCGAAAGTGGGACAACGGGCGAAGGGCAGTGTGGGCAAGTGCCTTCTCCTGCTCTGAGGAGGGGAGGGAAACGTCGAGCAGGGCGGCGAAGGGCAGGGGACGACCAGCTCGGGGGGGGGGGGGGCAGCGAGCAGGGCGTCGGCGGTGCGTCGCCGGAGCAGAGCCGAGGGGCCCCGGGTGGCGAAAGGCGAACGCGTCCGGGCGGGGTGGCCATGGGGCCCCCTCTCAGGTGGGCGTGTCCTCACCTCATCTCCTCCCTCCTCCTCTCTCCTCCTCCTCCTCCTCCTCCTCTCCTCCTCCTCCTCCTCCTCCTCCTCCCCTCCCCCCCCTCTCCTCCTCATCCTCCTTTCCTCTCCCTCCATCGTCAGGTCGGGCGTGTCCCCCCCCCCCCCCCGAGGGGCGCTCCTGGCGGGCTCAGAGAGGCCCGAAAGCGCCCAAGAGGAAGGCTCTCTGGCTTTTGCCGCCGCGCCGGCGGTCGCGTGGCGCGACTGATGCCCAAGACTGGGTCGCGCTTAGGCGAATCGCTACGAAGCTTCCAAAAACGTCGATCCTCGAAACGCGGTCCTTTTGGGCGAAAGATATGGGACGCGCAGGGACATACGAGACATACTGGTACTCTGCGTTCTCCCTGGAGGCGCGCGTCCGACCCGAACATCTAGTGTACCCATCTTGTGGTGTATCGTTTCCCGAGCGGTGTGGCCGGAAAGCGCCCGCCACGATGCATACACTACAAGATTTATCGGTGCGCGCGCCGCCCCTGGGGGGTGGGCGACGCACATACGGTATAAGTGTGTTGGGGTGACGCCGATGTCCCCCTACAGGCGAATCTTGAGCGAAAAACAATGTTAAAGAAAAGACGCCAAGAATACTCGACCCTGGTTAGAGCTTATCTTACGAAAATCGTCCCCAGACCATGCTTTGACTGCGTTTGAATCTTCTCCTGCGCCCGAGACGTCACCCTGTCGGCGAGGACTGGGCGATCGGGGGTCGAGGCCTCGCCCCCCCCACGGGCCTGTCCCCCCCCCTGACGTTGCCCCCTGCAGGAAAAGAGGAGGAGGGGGAGGAGGAGGAGGAGGAGGAGGAGGAGGAGGAGAGGGAGGAGGAGGAGGAGGAGGAGGAGGAGGAGGGGGAGGTGGAGGAGGAGGAGGAGGAGGAGGAAGAGGAGGAGGAGGAGGAGGAGGAGGAGGGGGAGGGGAGGGGGAGGAGGAGGGGGATGGCGCGTCCACACGCCTTCGCATCGTCGGCTGCCTCGTGCACCCGTCGGGCGAGTGGCAGGGGGGGGGGGCCTGAATGGGGGGCGAAGGAGAGTGCCCCCGAGGGGCACCTCAGGCTCCAGCAGGGGCACCCTTCGGGCCCCTGCTGGCTCCAGAAGGGACCCTGAAAAAGGCTCCTGCGGGGCCCTCTTCTTCACCCCCCCGTGTGGGTCACCCCCCATCACCACCCGCCCGAGCCGGGCCGTTCGCCCTCTCTCGCTGCCCGCGGCGCCGCCCTCCCTCGCCCGCGCTCCGCCAAGGGCTCCCACCGTCGCGCTCCGCGCCGCGCGAGCGCGCGAAGCGTGAACAACTTCGCGCCCCCGCGCCGCCTCCGCGGCGTACCACAGGAGCATGATGGACCACGCACAAGCGTTGCAAATCCGAGGAGTGCGTTAAACCACACAGGAACATGGCAGACCGCGCAGGAGCACGGCGAGCCACAGGGACGCGGCTGACCCCACAGAAATGCGGCATACCATTGGAGCACGACAGACCAAAGGAATACGGCAAATCACGCAAGACCACGGCGAGCCTCCGGATCACAGCTGGCCAACACGGCACACCACAGCAGACCAAATCGGAGCCGAAGCGCGAGGCGCGAAGCGCGAGTAGCTTCGCGCCCTCGAGGGCGCCCTCGCTCTGGCTCTCTGCGAGGTGCGCGCCGTCCTGGGCAGCGATCGCGCAGCGAGCTCCACGGCCTCGCGCTGCATGGGACGCACAGAGACATACTAATGCTATATGCCCTCCTTGGAGGCACGCGTCCGACCCGAACATATAGTATACCCATATTGTAGTGTATCGTTTCCCGAGCGGTGTGGCCAGAAAGCGCCCTCCACGACGCATGTACTATAAGATTTCTCGGTACGCGCGTCGCCCCTGGGGAGGCGACGCACACATAGTATGAATATGTTGGGGTGACGCCGACTGCACGTCCCCCCTGCGCACCACGCGGCCAGCTCTCGCGGCGAGGCACTCTCGCTGCGCGCGACCCTGGCGGCGGGGCCCCGCGACACAGTATGCGTAGGTCGGGCATGTCCCCCTACAGGCGGAGTTTGGAAGAACAATCACAAAGATAACAAAGTCCTTACATATGATATAATGAAAATAAGCTTATATCTACATATATAGATATAACCACCTAACCATTCTCGAAGATTCCTCCTGTAGAGAGGCATGCCCGACTTAGCACTGTGTCGTTCAAGCTGATGGTGTGCCGCTCCGCCTCATGGGGTGAGAGGCTGGGACAAGCTCCGAGCGCTGATGCTTGGGGGCAGGGACGTCTTTGGCGTGTCGCGCCGAAGCGCGGTGGGCCAGGACTGGAAGCGCGACACTCTGAGCAAACGCTGCTGGCGGGCAGTTCCTGTGTGGCCTGGCCTCACGGCCGACTGAGATTGCTTCGGCGTGGGCAGTGGTGCCGTACGCCTCGCGATGCACGGGGAACTGAAGGGAATACGACTGTGGCAACTAGAGCGCCGCAAGCGGTCCTCATCATTCTGATCACAACCACCACCAGGGTCATCGTCGCCATTACCTGTTTTACCTGTTTACCGGGTGATCTACCAGTCTCTGATACCCCGCTGCTTCCGTGAAAAGATGCAACATGTGTTACGCAGCAATTACCATAGTTGCCATCGTCACCATCATCAACGGCAAACTACTAGATCAACATCATCAGCACAGTCATCAGCATCATCCTCACCGCCACCATCATCACCACCACCATTATCATCAGCAGCAGCATCAGCACCACCATAACCACCACCACCACCATCATCAATCATCATCATCATCATCATCATCATCAGCAGCAGCAGCATCATCATCATCAGCATCATCAGCATCATCATCAGCATCGTCATCGTCATCATCATCATCATCATCATCATCATCATCATCATCATCATGATCACCATCAGCGTCATCATCATCATCATCATCAGCAGCAGCAGCATCATCAGCAGCATCATCATCATGGTCATCATCATCATAATCAGAACCAGCAGCATACTCCATATCATCATCAGCATCAGAATCGGCATCATCAGCAGCACCGTCATCAGCATCATCTAACCGCCACCATCATAATCAGCATCAGCAGCATCATCACCATCATCATCATCATCAGCAGCATCATCATCAGAAGCATCATCAGCAGCATGATCCACAGAATCAGTAGAGTCAACCTCATCAGCATCATCATCATCATCATCATCAGCATCATCATCATCAGCATCATCATCAACATCGGCATCGTCATCATCAGCAGCATACTCATCATCATCATCAGCAGCAGCACCGACATCAGCATCATCATCATCATCATTACCACCACCATCATCATCCGCATCATCACAGTCGTCATCATCATCACCATCATCATCATCAGCAGCAGCAGCATCCTCAGCATCAGCATCAGCATCAATATTAACATTGTCATCAATGTAATCATCATCATCATCATCATCATCATCATCAGCAGCAGCAGCAGCATCAACAGTATCAGTATTCATAACATCATCATCATCAACAGCAACAGCAGCATCATCATCGTCTGTATCATCATCAGCAGCATCATCAGCATCATCATCATCATCACTACCACCACCACCATCATCATCATCACCACCACCACCAAAATCATCATCAACAACAACAGCATCATCATCATCATCATCATCATCATCATCATCATCAACATCATCATCATCATCATCATCATCATCATCATCATCTCCCAATCCTCATCCTCATCCTTATCCTCATCCTCATCATCATCCGTATTATTATCCTCGTCATCCTCGTCGTCGGCCTCTTCCTCCTCGTGGGGGCCTCCCTGGCCTTCCGCCTCTTCGCCACGGTCGTGCCCTTGATGACGGACTTGGGCCGTCTCTCCAGCTCCTTCGCGCGGGACTTCAGCCCGTGAAGCTTGGTGGCGACCACCTCGCGGGGGGGGTCGGGAGGGGGAGGGGATAGGGGGGAGGGAGGAGAAGGATCGACGATCGAGGCTATTGGACGTCAGGGGCCCACCGTGGATCTCTGGGGCCCTGGGCCTCCGGGGCCCCCGGGGAAGCGGCGGGCGAGCCTGTCGACAGTCGGACTCGGCTCAGAGGGGTCAACCATGGGCGACCACCTCGCGGGGGGGTCGGGAGAGGGGAGGGGATCAGGGGGAGGGAGGAGAAGGGGATCGACGATCGAGGTTGTTGGACGTCTGGGGGCCCCCTTGGGCCCCTGGGGGCTGGAGGCCCCCCGGGGAGGCGGATGAAGAGTCTGCCGACAGCCGGACTCGGCTCAGAGGGGTCAGCCAGGGGCTGCCTGGCAGTCCAGCGCACGCCCCACGTGCTGCGGTCGAGAGCCCGCTGCCGCGTGAGGGGGCCCCGTGGAACTCCCGCCCGCGGTGCCCCGCGCGCCCTCCCCGCGGGAGGGAAGGAGGGAGGGGAGGGGGAGGGCGAAGGGTCGAAGGTCCAGGCTCTTGGACATCTGGGGGCCCTTCTTGGGGCCTCTGCGAGGCCCCTGGTGGGGAGGAGGGGAGGCTTTCACGCTCATGAATCTGCTGCTGCTTCTGGAGTCGCCCCAGGGAGGGGACGGAAGGAGGAGGAAGACAGGAGGATATCATGGTTTCCCCTCTCTTGTGTCAGCTTCCAGGGGGCCCCGGGGGGGAGGGGCCTGGAGAGAGAGGGGGAGGGCAGGGATCGAGCTTAACAATGCTTCTGGTTTTGGTTGTGTTTCCGTTGTCCTCCGTTCCGTCTCGTTCCGCCTCCGCTGCGAAACGAGATCAACGCGATACTGGCCCACAAGATCGCCAGACCGCCGTTCAGCTCGAGCACTGTCGGAGATGGGGGCGCGCAAACAGGGATTAGCGATCCATGGATTTGGCGCGCGGTCGCCAAATCCATGGATCGGGAGAGGCCCCCTCCCCAAAATGCGGCCGGTGCCGCCTCGCTCGGCGGCGGAAATTCGCGATTAACCATGAAAAAGGGACCCGTCGCCATGCCCCCTTCGCCTCCGCCTCCGCCTCCACGTCCTCCTCCTCCTCCTCCTCCTCCTCCTCCTCCTCCTCCTCCTCCTCTCCTCCTCCTCCTCCTCCTTTTCTCTGGCAGTGTGCTCCTCTCCCCTCCCCCCCCCCTCCGCCTCTCCCCCCGCCCTCCTCCCCCAGCGTGGCATGCCGGCGCTCCCGCGCGCCGCCTTCCCAGGCCCGGCGCCCTTGACGTTGATCTCGCGCTTGCCGTTCATCGGCACCGCCCGGAAACTTCGACTGCGCCTTGGCAGGCAAAGGCAGGAGGAGGAGGAGGAAGAGGAGGAGGAGGAGGAGGAGGAGGAGGAGGAGGAGGAGGAGGAGGGGAGGGGACGAGGGAGGAGGAGGAGGAGGGGAGGAGGAGGAGGAGGAGGAGGAGGAGGAGGAGGAGGAGGAGGAGGAGGAGGAGGAGGAGGAGGAGGAGGAGGAGGAGGAGGAGGAGGAGGAGGAGGAGGAGGAGGAGGAGGGGAGGAGGAGGAGGAGGAGGAGGAGAGGAGGGAGGAGGAGGAGGAGGAGGGGAGGAGGAGGAGGAGGAGGAGGAGGAGGAGGAGGAGGAGCGAGGAGGAGGAGGAGGAGCAGGAGGAGGAGGAAGAGGGAGGAGGAGGGGGAGCGCGGCCCGGGGCACAGCGAGCGGTCGCCGCACCCGGCGGCCAGGGCGCGCTGGTGGCCTCGGAGCCGCACGGTGCGGCCCCGGCTCGACGCTGCTCTGGTCTCTGTTTCACACCTCCTCCTCCTCCTCCTCCTCCTCTCCTCCTCCTCCCTCCTCCTCCTCCTCCTCCTCCTCCTCCTCCTCCTCCTCCTCCGCCTGCTCCTTGCACTCTGGCTGGCGTCACACAGATCCAAAAGTTGTCCTGGGCCTTCAAAGCCTTGCTGGGGCGCCTGCTGGGGCTCTGCTGGGCCGCCTCAAAGCCTTGCTGGGGCGCTCCACGGGGCAGTACTGGGGCCCCCCGAAGCGCTCCAGAAGCAGCCCTTCAGCAGACCGACGAGAGGCAACGATGAAGGGAGGTTGGCTCAGAGGGGAACATGGAAGATCGGTGAGGTGGTCAGTTGAGGTCCCCCGAAAATCCCCTCCCCGCACGCTTCTCTGTCGCGGCGCGGCAGAGGCAATCCGCTCGCGCGCTCGAGTTGCCGTGTGCGCTCGGCACAATTTGGCAGTCGCTCGCAAGCAGGCCACCTCACAAGAAATTCTGCTATGGATGACTCCATCGGAGGCTCCTGAGGCGTTACAGACCTCAGAGTGCAGTGAGCTGCTCGACCCTATGAGAGCGAGCTGCTGGATCTCCGCCCAAAACTTTGATGGCCCCATTTTCCACCACCACTACCATATGTAGGAGAGGGAGGAGGAGGAGGAGGAGGAGGAGGAGGAGGAGGAGGAGGAGGAGGAGGTCCTCCTCTCCTCCTCTCCTCCTCCTCCTCCTCCTCCTCTCCTCCTCCTATCCTCCTCCTCCTCCTCCTCCTCCTCCTCCTCCTCCTGTCTTCCCCCCGACCTACATATGGTTGTGGTGGTGGACAACTTTGACCATCACACACACACACACACAAGCCAGGTAAGTTTGGGTGCGCTCGGCACACCAGCTGCCCAGCTGCAGGCAGGGAGAATTGGCGGGGAGGGGCGGCCGCCGCGGAGGGAGGCAGGCGGGGGAGGATGAAGGGCCCATGGGGCACACAAATATATACACACAAATCAAAGGATTCCCCATGTTTTCCCATATTTTCTGGGTTCTCGTCTTCCCCCCCCACTTCCCATCTTTTCCAATATTTTCCTTGAAGGCGACGATTAATTGTGTCTGTGTGGTTTTTCCCCTCCTGAGAGGAGGGCAACCGTCGGAAGCGGGGCGAGGGCTGGCAAATCCGAGGCTGCCCAAACGGTCTCCTGGAAGAACAACAAAAAAAACACTCTGGGAATAAAACTCGGCGCGCGAAATAGAAGGGCTGCCTCCCGGAAGAAGCTCCGTTTTAGCAGCCACGGGTTTGCCTGCCCTCGCCTGGCTTCTGAAACCACCGAGGGATACCCCTTCCGTTAAGTCGGGCGTGTCCCCCTACAGAGGGATAATGGGCGAAAACTAAAACAACAGTCAAAAATACTCAAAACAGTCAAAAGTGTTCAACAAATCGTCCCCAGACTATTTTTGGACTGCTTTGAATATTCCTCCTGTAGAGGGACACGCCCGACTTAACCCTTCCGCACACCCGGGCGGCGGATGTTCGGCGCCCCTTCCCCCCGTGCGCTCCGCGCGCCAGAAGCAGTGGTGAGCAGAGGGGGCACGGCGCCAGGGGGCGAGAGACACCGCCCACGGACGGCCAGAAGCTCGTGTCTGGACGGCCGTCTCGTTCTCTGCTGGGGATGCGCTGCGCTACAGTCGGGGGGAACGAAAGCGGGGGATAGCAAAGGGTAGGGTAGAGAATCAGCTCACGTAGCTGATTTTCCCAGCGCCTCCCGGCACCGGGAGGCGCCCATCTATCGAAGAATGGGCCTGGCGGCGGGGCCGAAATCAGCTGCATGCAGCAGATTTCGTAACACCTCCTTTCCCTACGCCCACCTTTCGCTCGGCCCGACACAGTGGAGGCCCGACCACAAGAAACCTTCCACAAGAAACCCAACCCTGAGACCCCAGGGCGTCCATGGATTTTCGGCGTGGGCGCGTTGCGCTTTCCATGGCAGAACCATCGAAACCCACGAAACCAAGGGCACCCTGGAGGCAAGCAGGGTGTTTCTTGGCATCGGCCTCCACCGTATGGCGTTTCTTGGTATCCGCCTCCAATTTGGACCAGGGGCACCTGACCTCTTGTGGTGCTCTGCTAAAGCGAGGCGCCGACCACGCCCGACAAAGAGCTACCTTTGAAGGGGCCCTGGGACACACAAATAAATACACACAATTGAAAGGATTCCCTATACTTTATCAGATGTTCCGGGTTTTCGTCTTCCCCCCCCCTCCCATATTTTCTTATATTTTCTGGGGATCGACGATAAATTGTGTCTGTGTGATTTTTCCCGCTCCTGAACGACACTGACCCGGGTCAGCCAGCGCGAACCTTGAGTATCGTTTGACCGAACCCCATCCCCAGCGGCATGGCCTGGGCCCCACTGGCCGATTTGCCCCCCCCAGATGGGGATATAGGCCGTTCCCCTTCGGGCTTCGAGGGGTGTATCCCCCACTGGGGTGGACACTTGGTGGGGGTGTCTCGAAGGGGATGGAGATGGGGATGGGGACCGGCTAAACGCTGCCGAACCCTGGGGTCAGCCGGGGCGGTCAGGCCCCGCACCTAGGCAGGCCACGTCGTCGCTCCCACGCCCAGGCCAGCGGAAGAAGGGGAGCGGACGCCTCCGCGTGGCTCCCGGGGCCCAGAACATTTTTTGTTGTTCTCAACCATCCCCAGTTGAGAGGTTCAGGTCAGTGTTGGGAGCACGCGGGGGTACCCAACGGCCTCGAGGAGTCCCAGGGGCTCTCGACAGCACCTCCCCATCAGCAAACTCCACCTCGTGGCGAAGAGCGCCTCGTGAGCCGCCCAAAGAGGCCAGGCGGACCGTCCGACCATGCAGCGGAGGAGGCACTGTGGCGACGAGAAGAAACTCTCAGCCGCGCCCGGGCCCAGGACAGACCTGAGGAGATCCGAGGCGACGGGCTGCCCGCGTCAGGGCCCACCCCCCCCGCCCCTTGCATGCGCCCCGACTGGCCGCCACTGAGCCCCACAGGCAAGAATCGGCTCTGGCAGGGGTGCAATGCGATAGAATTTCAAGGCAAGTCTGCCCATGGCCACGAGAGCGCTCGAAGAGGCCCAAGAAGGTCCGGAAGCGCACAAAAACCTCGACAATCGAATCTCGATGCTCCTCCTATTGCTGAAGGCCTCCCGAATCAAATCCGAGTAGATGGGGTCGGAGGATCGCGCCGCGCTGCCAATGCATCGGCGATGCATCGGCGACGTCGGCGATGCATCGGCGCCGCCGGCGTTGAGAAAATCGGGCTCTACGTCGAGCCGCATCGCCGATGCATCGGCGATTCGGCCCGATCCTCCGACCCCCTCTACTCGGAGCCCATTTTGGAGGCGTGAACCTCCTCCTCCTCCTCCTCCTCCTCCTCCTCCTCCTCCTCCTCCTCTGCCCCTGCCTGGAGGACGTGCTGCTTCAGGGCCTCCTCGTACTCCGCCAGCTCCTGGGGCGATGGCTTCGCCATGCCCCTGTCGGTCTCCCAGTTCTCTCGCGAGGACGCCTGGGGCCCAGATGGGGGGGTTAAGGTTGTGGATGCCATGACAATGGACACTCTAACAATCCAATAATTGAATTAACGATGTGTTTAAAATGTGTAAAACATGTTCTAAAAGTGTTCCAAACATGTTTTTACATCATCAAAACCATGTTTGAAACATGTTTAAGACATCTGGAAATTATTTCGCAGCATGCTTCCTCTTCATTAACCGACTTCCACAAGGTTAAGGCTGGCGGTGGTGGTCACTGCATTCGGGGGCGCGCAAACAGGGATTGGCGATCCACGGATTCGGCGCGCGGTCGCCAAATCCATGGATCGGGGGAGCTGCCCTCCCCAAACTGCGGCCGGTGCCGCCTCGCTCGGCGGCGGAGATCCGCGACTTCCCATGGAAACGGGACCCGTCGCTAATCCTCGCCCCCTTGATCCATGTTTGCGATCGCCTGATGCATCAGGGGAACATATCCCAAGCAGAGCAACACGCGCCATGACCACGCCGCCGCTGACGACGACGACGACGACGACGACGACGACGACGAATCGACGACGACGACGACGACGACGACGACGACGACGACGACGACGACGACAAATACGACGACGACGACGACGACGACGAAGACGAAGACGACGACGAAGTCGACGAAGGCGACGGCGACGGCGACGGCGACGACGAGGCGCGCAAACGATCCGCACCGAAGCACAGACTCGAGACAGGGCCCACCCTGCGAGGCAGTGGCGCTCTGGTGCTGGGCACCGGGCACGCCGCTGAGCGGCGCTGCGGCCCCCCCCCCCTGCAGGGGGGGGGGGAACAGGAGGAGGACCGCGCACAGAAGCGGCGCCTTCTCTGTCCAGCCACCGGTCTCGGAGGGGGGCAGCTCCGGGGCGAGCCCACGCGAGCGGGACGCCCGGCGCGCCTGCCTGCGCGGGCACCAGCGGTTTGGAGGCGCCGACCACCTCGCCTCACAGCTGACCACGCTCCACAAAGTCACAAACACACACAAACACACACACACACAAACACACACGCACACACACACACACACATACACACACACACACACTCGCACGCGCACGCACACACACACACACACACACACACACACACACACGCGCACGCGCACGCACACACACACACACACACTCGCACACACACACACACACACACACACACACACACACGCACACACACACACATACACTCGAAGCTGCTGGTCGAAGCGAGACGGCCGCAGCTGCGCGCGGCCTCCGCAGCACCATGATGTGACAAGACGTACCGATGAAAAACCTGCTTAATGCGACTGCTTGCAGCAGTGCGTCCTATGGGGGAGACCCCACCTGCTTGAAACAGGCGCCAAAAACAGCAAAGATCCACTCCATGGGGGGAGGGGGGGTGCGAGGGCCCGCGCCGATGGGCATAAGAACGACGACCAATTAGCCTCCAAGTTTGCGACTGGTTCGAGGTCTCGTCGGGATGAAGTTCCAGAAAACACGATATAGGTTCGACAGGACGCAGCAGCGATATCGCTGTGTTGATGTCCCAGGGAGGGTGTCCTGGCACGGTTCAGCACTGTCACTACGCAACAGTCACGATAACCCGCGGCGTTGAAATCCTGAGAATAGCGTTTCGGCACTCTACGTATCTCAAATGATTTATGGAATTGAGGGGTGCCCGAACCCTCTCAAAAGTACCATGTAGAACTCTGTTTGTCGTGTCTGTTCTGGCCCGGACGGGGCATCTCTCCCTAATTGGAGTCTGGGGGAGTGAAACCCTTCCGTTCCTGAATGTTTCGACCAGCTGTCTTTCAATAGGCCACCTCCTGTGATGAAGATAAACTCCTGTAGGGGCCTCCGCAGAGGAAACATGGAGGGAAGGTTTACTGCAACATCGTTGATGCGTCTTGGGATTATACGGGACCCCATCCTCCTACTCCTCTTCCTCATGTCCCTCCGTCTCGGCTCCTCCTCTTCCTCCTCCTCCTCCTCCTCCTCCTCCTCCTCCTCGGTTCCTCCTCCTCCTCCTCCTTCTCCTCTCCCTCCTCTTCCTTCTCTTCCTCCTCCTTCTCCCTCTCCCCCTCCCCCTCCCCCTCCTCCCGCGCATCGCTCGGCCCCAGATGGCGCAAGGCATATCTGACATGTTTCGGGGAGGCGCCTGTTGGTGCATCTTGCTGCTGCGCATGAACGAGTCTGCCAGCCTCAGGCTCGGGTGTGAAAGCGGATGAAGAGGAAGAGAAGAAGGATGACGACGACGAGGACGAGGACAAGCAAATCGAGAAGGAAGCACGACATAGCAAAGCAAAGCGACCAAGGAGACGGAAATGGGAAGGAAGGTATGCGAGCGAAGTAGAGGAAGAAGAAGCGGATACGGAAGGATTCGGAGGAGCGAGCGAGCGAGCGAGGAAATAGTGAGGAAGGATGCCGTATTTGATTACTGGACATCGAACTGCAGGAGCACGCGTTGAGCCGCCCAAAATGGGCCAGAAGCCCCCCAAAAAAAACACGCAGCCCGACTCGGGGGCAGACGACGAAGACCTCGCCCAGAAGCATCTGGAGGCAAATGCTAATGCCCTGTGCCAATCAGACCCCCATGGGCTCGAGTGGGTCCGTGCTCGTAGGCAGTTCGAGGATCTGTTTGGCAGGGACGAGTGCGATGCTTGTCGGCTCTTAGGCAAAAAGTGGACGGATGTGTTCGCCAAGGCTGAGGCTCATTGTCATGCCGTAGCTCAGGTCCTGCAGGACGTCCACTCTGCTAGCTTCAAGAGTGAGACGTAGGATGCTGAGGTTTTCGCCTGGATGGCTCCGTCTGCAGCCAGGTTGTCTGCGGAAGTGCGTCCCAGGAGTGAGACCATGCAGGCGCAGAAGTCCCCAAGAGCTATGCCGCCCATTGAGCTCACGGAGCCAAGAGAACGAGTTCTGTGAAGCTGGCCGAGCACAGGTGCAGGTGTTGCACTATGCTTGCCAGGACCGCCGATACGCTCCATGCGCTGTCGTTGCGACAAGCCAGAGCTCAGACAACAGGGAAACGAACACTGGCATAAAGATTCAGACTCGGAGGTCCGCGCGGACCTCTCGGATCGGCGCTCGACCCCCCTCCCTGGCGCGCGGAGCGAGCCAGGAGCGGCGCTGCCAGGGGGCCCCAGCGCCGATCCGAGAAATCCGCGCGGACATCCGAGACTTCATGGCTATGTCAGGGTTCTCTCCCCTCGACGAGGGTGGGCCAGTCGTTTTGGTCCGCAGCTTTCCCGAGGTCCTCTATGATGGGCCTGTTTTCCACCATCACCACCATAAGTTGGAGGGGGAGGGAGTTCTCCTCCACCTCCTCCTCCTCCTCCTCCTCCTCCTCCTCCTGCTCCTCCTCCTCGTCCTCCTCCTCCTCCCCCCTCCAACTTACGGTGGTGGTGGTGAAAAACAGGCCCGTCATTCTCCCCCCTTCCCTTGAGGCTGTGCAGGCTGCCTCTGCAGAGGGCTGCCCGCGGCCAGGACGGTCGAGCGTCGACGGAGACTTTGCGCGGGCGCGCCCGACCTGGGCGGTGGAGGCCGCCGACCGCGGGGGGGGGATGGCGGATCGGGGGCGCGCAGACGTGGACTAGCGATCCAGAAGCCAGAGGCCCCCCGCGAAAGGGCCAGGAACGCCCCCTGGAGGGCCGCAGGACCGCGCAGGGTGGCCGACGGCGACGACGACGGCGGCGGCGAGGAGGAATGCACCGAGATTGCCCAGGGAGGGACCATGCACTGCCCAAGATCGGGGGCGCGCAGACATGGATTAGCGATCCATAGATTTGGGATCGCGGTCGCCAGGTCCATGGGTCGGGGGAGGTGCCCTCCCAAAAACCTGACCTGACAAGAACGGGAAGCGAATGTTCGAACGTTCGTTGCAGGTGTGGCATCACACGGGGACGTCAAAACTGGAACGCTTGTGCGAACAGGAGGGGACTGCGCGGTGCCCGAGGCGAGGATCCCTCGAAAATTTACGACGCTCGCGCTCCCGAGGCGCAGATCCCTCGTAAAGTACACGCGATACGCGCCTCCGAGGCCACGACCCATTGCAAAGTACTCTGGGTTCATGCCTCGGCGACCAAGACCCACAGAAGTGCAGCCAGATTCACGCCCTGGAACCGCTATTACTTGTATTGTGCGCAAGCGGTCAATTACCACGCGGCCCCCGCGTCCACCTTCAAGATCCCGAGCTATCCGCCGTCCCCTTGGGGTTCGGTCCGGCTGGCTTGCAGGGGGGGGGGATCCGGTTAAACGGACTAGATCCCTCACCCCTCCCAGGAATGCCCAGGATGCCTCCGGCCGTCTCCGGCCACTCCAAGATGCTCCAAGACGGCCCATTATATTTTGAATACGACCGGCGATAACCCCAAGACGGTCCAAGAGGCCTGTAACATGAAGCCCTCTTGGATCCCTCTGGCGCCGTTTTCGGGCCCTCTTGAGCTGCCTTGGGGCTGTGTAACCCGAATTCGGGATAAGGAGATGGAAAATCTAGTGACCTTCGGTCCGTCCCGCCACCGTGCCGGGGTATTGAGAATGAGGCGAAGTGAAAGTTCGTTGGGCTCTCTTGGGAGGCTTCTCGCGGGCCGTTTTGGGTCCTCTTGGGGCCTCCTTTGGGCCTCTTGGGGGCCTTTTGGGGTGTCTTGGGGGCCTCTCGGGGGCCTCTTGGGACCTCTTGGGCGCCTCCTGGGGCCTCCCAGGGCCGTCTTTGGGCGGGATGCTCCGATTTTCAATTCGGGTTCACCCTCTTGGGCCCCTCTTGGAGCCCTCGTGGGCCTTCTTGGGAGCCTCTTGGGCCGTCTTGGCGCCCTCTTCGGCCGTCTTGGGCGCCTCTTGAGAGTCTCTTGGGCCGTCGCGGGTCGGTCTTGGGGGACTCTTGGACCGTCTTCGACGCCGTGAAGACGAGAAAATCGTATATACTAAAAATTTACGTTTCCCCATAGGAATTTGACGATTTTGGCCTCTTGGGCCCTCTTGGGGGTGCTCTTGGAGGCCTCTGGGACCGTCATGCGGGCCTCCTGGAGCCGTCCTGTGGCCTTCTAGGGACCCTCTTGGGCGCTCCAAGAGCGATCTGAACACAAAGGCGGCCTGGAGCCAACGCCAAATCCATTTTTTAGAGGATGTCCCGAGCGAAACGGCCAATTTAGAAACCTGACCGGACAAGAACGGGAAGCGTCCTTTTGTCCCCTGGGCTTATGAGATATTCCACGTTTTTAGTACGGCATACCACAGCAGTGCCACGTACCACTGCCGTGCTCCTTTGGGGTCTGCCGTGCTCCTGTGGAGTTTGCCGTGCGAACGTGTGGTCTGCCGTGCTCCTGTGTGGTCTGGCGTGCTCCTGTATGGTCTGCCGTGCTCTTGTGTGGTTTGCCGTGCTCCTGTGTGGTCTGCCGTGCTCCCGTGGGGTCTGCCGTGTCCTGTGTGGTCTGCCGTGCTCCTGTGTGGTCTGCCGTGCTCCTGTGTGGTCTGCCGTGCTCCTTCTTGGTCTGCCGTGCTCATGTGGTGTCTGCCGTGCTCCTGTGCGGTCTTCCGTGCGAACGTGTGGACTGCCGTGCTCATTTGGGGTCTGCCTTGCTCCTTTGTGGTTTGCCGCGCTCCTGTGTGGTCTGCCGTGCTCCTGTGTGGTCAGCCGTGCTCCTGAGGCGTCTACGGTGCTCTTTTGGGGTCTGCCGTACTCATTTGGGGTCTGCCGTGCTCCTGTGGTCGGCCGTGCTCATTTGGGGTCTGCCGCGCGCCTGTGAGATCTGCCGTGCTCCTGTTGGGGAAACGCCAGCGGCGTTCGGGGTACAACAAAAAGGCGCGTTTATGTTGTACCCGCGCGCGGTCTGCCGTGCTCCTGTGGGTTCCGCCGTGCTCCTGTGGCGTCTGCCGTGCTCCTGTGGCGTCTGCCGGGCTCCTGTGTGGTCTGCCGTGCTCCTTTGTGGTCTGCCGTGCTCCTGTGGAGTCTGCCGTGCTCCTGTGTGGTCTGCCGTGCTCTTGTGGTCTGCCGTGCTCATTTGGGATTTGCCGTGCTCATGTGGGGTCTGCCGTACTCCTGTGTGGTCTGCCGTGCTCCGGTGGTCTGCCGTGCTCCTTTGGGGTCTGCCTTGCTACTGTGGGGTCTGCCGTGCTCCTGTGTGGTCTGCCGTGCTCCTGTGGTTTGCCTTGCTCCTGTGTGGTCTGCCGTGCTCCTTTTGGGTCTGCTCTGCCGTGCTCCTGTGGGGTCTGCCGTGCTCCTGTGGGGTCTGCCGTGCTCTTGTGGGGTCTGCCGTGCTCTTGTGTGGTCTGCCGTGCTCCTTTGTGGTCTGCCGTGCTCCTGTGTGGTCTGCCGTGCTCCTGTGTGGCCTGCCGTGCTCTTGTGTGGTCTGCCGTGCTCCTGTTGGTCTGCCGTGCTCTTCTGTGGTCTGCCGTGCTCCTATGGGGTCTGCCGTGCTCCTGTGGGGTCTGCCGTGCTCATGTGTGGTCTGCCGTGCTCCTGCGCGGTCTGCCGTGCTCCTGTGGCGTCTGCCGTGCTCCTGTGTGGTCTGCCGTGCTCCTGTGGTCTGCCGTGCTCATTTGGGGTTTCCCGCCAGCTTGTGGGGTCTGCCGTGCTCCTGTGGGGGAAACGCCAGCGGCGTTCGGGGTACAAGAAAAGGCGCGTTTATGTTGTACCTGTGCGCGGTCTGCCGTGCTCCTGTGGGGATTGCCGTGCTCCTGTGTGGTCTGCCGTGCTCCTGTGTGGTTTGCCGTGCTTCTGTGGTCTGCCGTGCTCCTTTGTGGTTTGCCGTGCTCCTGTGGGGTCTGCCGTGCTCCTGTGGGGTCTGCCGTGCTCCTGTGAGGTCTGCGGTGCTCTTGTGTGGTCTGCAGTGCTTCTGTGTCTGCCGTGCTCATTTGGGATCTGCCGTGCTCGTGTGGTGTCTGCCGTGCTCAACCCATATAGTTAAAGAAAAGATATATTTACTCAAGGATTCAGCCAGAACGTCCCGCTTGTTCGGCCGTCTTGAGGGCACTCTTAGGGCATAGTCTGCCGTGCTCCTCGTCTTGGTCTGCCGTGCTCCTCGTCTTGGTCATCCTTTCCGTCGTCTTGAGGGCGCTCTTGGTGCCTGGTCTGCCGTGCTCCTCGTCTTGGTCTGCCGTGCTCCTCTCGGTTTCAGTGCCTGGTCTGCCGTGCTCCTCGTCTTGGTCTGCCGTGCTCCTCTCGGTTCCTGCGCGCGGTCTGCCGTGCTCCTGTGGGGAGCACGGCAGACCACAGGAGCACGGCAGACCACACAGGAGCACGGCAGACCACACCTCGATTTTTAGGAGGATGTCTCGAGCGAAATGGCCATTTTGGGGAACCTGACCGGACAAGAACGGGAAGCGTCCTTTTGTCCCCTGGGCTTATGAGATATTCCACGTTTTTAGTACGGCATACCACAGCAGTGCCACGTACCACTGCCGTGCTTCTTTGGGGTCTGCCGTGCTCCTGTGGAGTTTGCCGTGCGAACGTGTGGTCTGCCGTGCTCCTGTGTGGTCTGGCGTGCTCCTGTATGGTCTGCCGTGCTCTTGTGTGGTTTGCCGTGCTCCTGTGTGGTCTGCCGTGCTCCCGTGGGGTCTGCCGTGTCCTGTGTGGTCTGCCGTGCTCCTGTGTGGTCTGCCGTGCTCCTGTGTGGTCTGCCGTGCTCCTTCTTGGTCTGCCGTGCTCATGTGGGGTCTGCCGTGCTCCTGTGCGGTCTGCCGTGCGAACGTGTGGACTGCCGTGCTCATTTGGGGTCTGCCTTGCTCCTTTGTGGTTTGCCGCGCTCCTGTGTGGTCTGCCGTGCTCCTGTGTGGTCAGCCGTGCTCCTGAGGCGTCTACGGTGCTCTTTTGGGGTCTGCCGTACTCATTTGGGGTCTGCCGTGCTCCTGTGGTCGGCCGTGCTCATTTGGGGTCTGCCGCGCGCCTGTGAGATCTGCCGTGCTCCTGTTGGGGAAACGCCAGCGGCGTTCGGGGTACAACAAAAAGGCGCGTTTATGTTGTACCCGCGCGCGGTCTGCCGTGCTCCTGTGGGTTCCGCCGTGCTCCTGTGGCGTCTGCCGTGCTCCTGTGGCGTCTGCCGGGCTCCTGTGTGGTCTGCCGTGCTCCTTTGTGGTCTGCCGTGCTCCTGTGGAGTCTGCCGTGCTCCTGTGTGGTCTGCCGTGCTCTTGGGTCTGCCGTGCTCATTTGGATTTGCCGTGCTCATGTGGGGTCTGCCGTACTCCTGTGTGGTCTGCCGTGCTCCGGTGGTCTGCCGTGCTCCTTTGGGGTCTGCCTTGCTACTGTGGGGTCTGCCGTGCTCCTGTGTGGTCTGCCGTGCTCCTGTGGTTTGCCTTGCTCCTGTGTGGTCTGCCGTGCTCCTTTTGGGTCTGCTCTGCCGTGCTCCTGTGGGGTCTGCCGTGCTCCTGTGGGGTCTGCCGTGCTCTTGTGGGGTCTGCCGTGCTCTTGTGTGGTCTGCCGTGCTCCTTTGTGGTCTGCCGTGCTCCTGTGTGGTCTGCCGTGCTCCTGTGTGGCCTGCCGTGCTCTTGTGTGGTCAGCCGTGCTCCTGTTGGTCTGCCGTGCTCTTCTGTGGTCTGCCGTGCTCTTCTGTGGTCTGCCGTTGTTCGGCCGTCTTGAGGGCACTCTTAGGGCATAGTCTGCCGTGCTCCTCGTCTTGGTCTGCCGTGCTCCTCGTCTTGGTCATCCTTTCCGTCGTCTTGAGGGCGCTCTTGGTGCCTGGTCTGCCGTGCTCCTCGTCTTGGTCTGCCGTGCTCCTCTCGGTTCCTAAGCCTGGTCTGCCGTGCTCCTGTGGGGAGCACGGCAGACCACAGGAGCACGGCAGACCACACAGGAGCACGGCAGACCACACCTCGATTTTTTGAGGATGTCTCGAGCGAAATGGCCGTGGTCTGCCGTGCTCCACACAGGAGCACGGCAGACCACCTGCTCATTTTCTGAGGACGTCCCTAGCGAAAACGTCATTTTTAACATAAGAGGTTGTAAAACACCTCTGTCGGCATCTCATTTTTTCGAGGATGTCTCGAGCGAAACGCTCATTTTTCATGCATAACAAAAATTTTTGATATTTTTCAACATCCCGATTTTTTGAGGATGTCTCGAGCGAAACCGTCATTTTTAACATAAGACGTCTTAAACGATAGCCTCCAACACCTCGATTTTTCGAGGATGTCTCGAGCGAAATGGCCATTTTGGGGAACCTGACCGGACAAGAACGGGAAGCGCCGTTTTTTATCCACCACGTGCGTCAGAGACCGTATTGGCGAGAACGTCAGAGAAACCCATAAACGCAACAGAACAGACTAAATGGTGGCCTGCCGCGCTGGTCTGTCGAGGTAGTCTGCTGCCCTGGCCACATCATGGTGTCGACACCGTGCTTTTCTCTCGGCCACGCGGGCCCCCACCCGTTGTCGCCCAGCCTACTTTTTCTGTTCCAGCCTGTCTTGTCTTTTGTTTGTCCGTCGTCGTCGTCGCGTGCCTTTCCTTTGTCGTGGTCGTCGTTTTCATTATAATCGTCCGCTGTTGCCGTTCTCGCTGTCGCCGTCGTTATCATTTTATGATTGCGGTCGTTTTTCTGATTGTTTTTTTGTTGTTGGATTCCGTGTTCGGTTGGTTTTTGTGTTATGTTTGTGGTCGTTTTCTGTCATCGTTTTTTGTCGTAATTTTCGAGATCGTTATTGACGAAGACGACGACGACGACGATGACGACGACGACGATCTGCCGTGCTTCTGTGGCGTCTGCGGTGCTCCTGTGGTCTGCCGTGCTCCTTCTTGGTTTGCCGTGCTCCTGTGTGGTCTGCCGTGCTCCTGTGCGGTCTTCCGTGCTCCTGTGGTCTGCCGTGCTCCTTTGGGGTCTGCCGTGCTCCTGTGGAGTTTGCCGTGCGAACGTGTGGTCTGCCGTGCTCCTGTGTGGTCTGGCGTGCTCCTGTATGGTCTGCCGTGCTCTTGTGTGGTTTGCCGTGCTCCTGTGTGGTCTGCCGTGCTCCCGTGGGGTCTGCCGTGTCCTGTGTGGTCTGCCGTGCTCCTGTGTGGTCTGCCGTGCTCCTGTGTGGTCTGCCGTGCTCCTTCTTGGTCTGCCGTGCTCATGTGCGGTCTGCCGTGCTCCTGTGCGGTCTGCCGTGCGAACGTGTGGACTGCCGTGCTCATTTGGGGTCTGCCTTGCTCCTTTGTGGTTTGCCGCGCTCCTGTGTGGTCTGCCGTGCTCCTGTGTGGTCAGCAGACCCAGGGCTGAGGGAAGGCTGGAGCAGTGCTCTGGTGGTCCTTCACCCGCCCAGCTCCGTCCCCTCCCACTCTGGACCGATCTTGCGGGAAGCTGGCTTGTGGCAGCGCATCGCGCGTCGGCCGCCAGCCCAGGTGCCGGCCCGGGCGTTCGGTTCGAGCGCCGGCCTGGGTGCCGGAATCGGCCCGGAAGGGGTTCCAGGGCGCCGGGAGCAGAAAATCAATATTTTCGAAAGAAAAATATGTCTTGGAGTGGCCTTTTTTCCGCACCGCCTCGGAATTCAATTTTCCGGCGCCGGCCGGCGCCGGAACCGGCCCGGGCGCTGGCCCGGGTGCTGGCCCAGGCGTTCGGCTCGAGCGCCGGCCCGGGTGCCGGAAGCGGCCCGGAAGGGGTTCCCGGGCGCCGGGAGCAGAAAATCAATATTTTCGAAAGAAAAATATGTCTTGGAGTGGCCTTTTTTCGGCACCGCCTCGGAATTCAATTTTCCGGCGCCGGCCGGCGCCGGAACCGGCCCGGGCGCTGGCCCGGGTGCTGGCCCGGGCGTTTGGCTCGAGCGCCGGCCCGGGTGCCAGAAGCGGCCCGGAAGGGGTTCCCGGGCGCCGGGAGCAGAAAATCAATATTTTCGAAAGAAAAATATGTCTTGGAGTGGCCTTTTTTCGGCACCGCCTCGGAATTCAATTTTCCGGCGCCGGCCGGCGCCGGAACCGGCCCAGGCTGCCGTGCTCCTGTGTGGTCAGCCGTGCTCCTGAGGCGTCTACGGTGCTCTTTTGGGGTCTGCCGTACTCATTTGGGGTCTGCCGTGCTCCTGTGGTCGGCCGTGCTCATTTGGGGTCTGCCGCGCGCCTGTGAGATCTGCCGTGCTCCTGTTGGGGAAACGCCAGCGGCGTTCGGGGTACAACAAAAAGGCGCGTTTATGTTGTACCCGCGCGCGGTCTGCCGTGCTCCTGTGGGTTCCGCCGTGCTCCTGTGGCGTCTGCCGTGCTCCTGTGGCGTCTGCCGGGCTCCTGTGTGGTCTGCCGTGCTCCTTTGTGGTCTGCCGTGCTCCTGTGGAGTCTGCCGTGCTCCTGTGTGGTCTGCCGTGCTCTTGTGGTCTGCCGTGCTCATTTGGGATTTGCCGTGCTCATGTGGGGTCTGCCGTACTCCTGTGTGGTCTGCCGTGCTCCGGTGGTCTGCCGTGCTCCTTTGGGGTCTGCCTTGCTACTGTGGGGTCTGCCGTGCTCCTGTGTGGTCTGCCGTGCTCCTGTGGTTTGCCTTGCTCCTGTGTGGTCTGCCGTGCTCCTTTTGGGTCTGCTCTGCCGTGCTCCTGTGGGGTCTGCCGTGCTCCTGTGGGGTCTGCCGTGCTCTTGTGGGGTCTGCCGTGCTCTTGTGTGGTCTGCCGTGCTCCTTTGTGGTCTGCCGTGCTCCTGTGTGGTCTGCCGTGCTCCTGTGTGGCCTGCCGTGCTCTTGTGTGAGCTGTGAGCTGCGGGGCCTGTGAAGGCTAAAAGGAGCCCGAGGCCCGCGGAGCCCGTTGGCCCCAGGGCCTCAAGGGCCAACCCTAGGGGCCCCTAAGGAGCCACCGCAGGGGAGGGCGCGAAGCGCCAGACGCGCGAAGCGCACGATTTCAAAGAAATCAAGAAGGCAGCAGGGGCCGAGGCGCGCAAGCACGCCCAACAAGCCCTCCTCGCTGCAAAGGAGGCGCGGGGCAGAAGTTGCTGCCTCACGCACTCACAGAAAAAAAGAAGACGAGGGGGGCGGACACAACAGGAGGAAGAAGATGATGCTGCATCACTCCCCCTCGTCATCATCAGCACGGCGGCGCCTCTTGCGCCTGTCCTCGCGCGCCGTCTCAGCCGCGGCTGACCACTGGAGGAGGCTCGCCTCGTCAAGTCCGTAGGCGCTCAGCCATGCCTCCCTCGAGGCCCCCGCGGGGCCAGGCGCCAGCGGCTCTGCCGCCTCCTCGCCAGCGGCCACCGCGCCGCTGGGGGGCCCGCTGCTGGCGCCGGCGGCCTCGCCGCCAGGGGCATCCTCGGGGCGGACCCCCAGCCACTGCAGGAAGCGCACCCTGGCGTCCATCGGCACCACGTCCTCCTTGCGCAGGCTGGGCACTGTCGCGCCGACCCGCTTGCTGCCGCTGTGGGGCGTGCCAGCAGGATGCCGCCCCTGCAGCCAGCGCGCCTTCTGGTCTCGCCTGCCCTTGGGAAGCCCAGAAGACCCTGGGCATTGCTCCTTGAGCTTGGGCGCCGCGCCTGAGCGTCCGCCCAGCCGCGCGCACGCCCCGCAGCGGGTGCACGCCATCAGCTCCTGCTCGGCGGCGCCCTCCCCGCACCTGGCGAAGGCCAGGACGTGGCCAGCGACGACGAAGGCCGTCGCACCGAGGGATACGCCACCAGCGCGCGCCGCCGACGCCCACCCGTCGCCCGAACCCGAGTCGGACGGGCGGCTGCTGGCGGGCTCCACCACGGGCACGGCGAAGGAGACAGCCGTCCGCTCGCTGCCCTCGGGTAGGCCCTCGCAGTCCTTGACCTCGATCCCCTGCCAGATGAGGGAGGCTTGCGCCACCCAGCATGAGAGCTCCCTCACCACCTCCATCGTGCCGAAGAACTCGCGCCTGGCCACGGGGCTGGCGCGGTGCAGCTCCGCACCTGCCTTGGCCCAGCGGTCTGCATGACCGTTGCCGCGAAGGTCCGACTCCGTGATCTTGCCATCCATCACGTCTCTGGCGGTGCAGTGGGCCGCCACTTTGGTAACCTTGAGCATGTCCACGTCCAGCGAAGCGTAGATCCCCTCCCAGAGATGGGCATTGGGCTTGTTGGCTGCCGTCGCGTACCTCTTGCCCAACGTGAGGCAGCTGACCGTAGACGCACAATCGATGAGGATCTCGCCCACACTCGGGCCCAGGAAGCGAGAAAGCATCCAGACCGCGAAATCCTCGCCGTCCTTCGCCGTCTGGAAAGGGCAGAGGTCTTGGCGCACGCTGCCGTACACCGCGCACTCCATGTTGCCGTCGGAGTCGCACTGCACGATGCTCCAACCCGCACGCCGTAGGCTCTCGTGCCCGGGGTCGAGCGCCGACCCATCCAAGTAGAGGCGCCCCCCGAGGAGACCGTCAGCTGGGCGATTGCACCACCTGACCGCCATGGCATCCGACCTCGAGGCGGCCCTCGGGGGCTGCGGAAGCCAGCAGCGCGCGAAGCATTCCCCCGCCTCTTCACCGCGGCCACGTGCACGGTGTGCGCAGCCCCGTAGGCGGTCGGAGGTAGAGTCGCGCCTCGGCCCCGCGAGGACTGGACACTCGAACAGCCTGTGCCAGGGGCTGCCGCGGGAGGCATCGCAAGCGCAGCAGCGAGCGTGCTCCCTCTCCCCCGCCGAGTGCAGACGGGTCTGGGGCCAGTGGGCGTTGGAAAGGAAACTCACCACCGCCGCCTTCTCCCTGGGGCTGAGCTTGCTGCCAGGCCCAAGGACCTCCGAGAAGGCCTCCCAGAACAGGGGCGACGGGGGGAGCGCACCGTGGCCGAGGCGGGCCAGCTCCGACCTGTCCGAAGCACGCCGCGCCCCTGCCGCTGCCAGCAGGCCCAGCTCGCGCGGCCCCATCATGCGCAGGTCCAGGATGTGGCCGTCGTCGGTGGCGAGGCGGGTGCCTTGGACGAGCCTCCGGCCCACCCTGGTGAGCGAGAGGGCCAAGGCATCCACAGGCGTACGGCAGTGCGCCCAAGGGGCTGCTGCTCCCGCGTGCCTCCGCCCCGCCTCCTGCAAGGCCGTCTCGAACATGCGCTGCGGGACCTCCCCCGACTGAAGGAGGCTGGCCGCCATCTGCACTGCGGCACGAAGCAGCGCGGGGCTCGGGTCGAGGTCGATGGACCGCATGACCTCCACCGCTCTGAGTCTCAGCCCGAGTGAGGCGCCCTTAGGGAACTTCCCAGCCGATCGCACAGCCGCCAAGCGCCACGAATGAAGCTCCCTATCAGGTACACCCGTCACAGTACGCCCCCACAGCATCGCCGCGGTGGGCCCAGCGCGGTGGACCATCTCGGTCGCCGCACCAGCTGAGCGAAGCACCCCTAGCCTGCGTCCTCGCCGAAGGCCGCCGACCGCACGCACAGCACCTTCATGCACTCCACGACGAGTGATGTTGGCGTCGGTGCCGAGGTTCCTCGCCTGTAGTCCCCTCTTGAAGGCCAAGCCCTGCGCAGCCCACTCCTCGGAGAGCTCCTTGGCGAGCTGCGGCGACGAGGCCAGGAAGACCGACTTACTCTCGTTGAGTGGGAGGTGCTGCTCACGCAGCTGGCGGACCACTGCACAGCTGGAGGCCAACATCTGCTGCTTCACGAGTCGGGCCGTGCCGACCGCCTGGAGCGAGATGTCGTCGACCACATTCCTCGGCGTGACCAACGGGCACGTCGCCCCCGCGGCCAGGAGGGCTCCCAGGACTGGGAGCTTCGCAACTGCTGTCGCACACGCACACCCAGCCAACACCGTACCAGTAGTGCCGAAGGCGGGGGAAGCCATGCCCGCCGCAAGGAGCATCCTAGGGGCCTGGTAGGAGGTGAGGAGGCCGCGCAACAGCCTGAGGTTGAACCCGAAACGTACAGCATTCGCCCAGAGAACATCGTGACGCACATGCTCGTAGAACTTGCTGATGTCCAGGAAGAGGCTCGCGGCCTCGAACTGCTGGTTCGCCTTCGCGAACCCCGCAAAACAGTTGTGCAGCCACCCAGCCCGCTCACAGTCCCGCCCGTCACGTCCCCAGAAGAAAGGGAAGTTGTGGTCAGCCTCCCAGCGGGCACAGCACGGCTGGCGGAGGCGCGACCACAGCCGCAGGACCAGCGGCAGCAACGCAATGGGCCTTACCCCCCCATCTGCCTTCGGGATGAACACCATCAGGGAGACCTGCCCGTTGATCGATGCAGGGGCGTCGTCGTAGGCCGATAGGATGTCCAGGATGCGCTGCTGCAGCGCCACGGGCAGCAGGAGGATCTGCCGAGGGCGCAGGGAGTCGCACCCGAGACCCACCGAGGGGCTGTAGCGCTTGCAGGCTGCCTGGAGCTGCTCCAGCGAGATGGGTGGCAGCCGCCACTCGCCAACGTCCCAGCTGCTGGCCCCTGCGCCAAGGGCAAACCCTTCTTGGAGCCACAGCTTCTGCCAGACACTCGTGAGCTCTCCAATCGCTGCCATCCCAACCAGCCTCCTGCCCGAGCCAGCGCCCCTGACCGTCGGCGGGGCCGTCGCCTTCGAGAAGCGGTGGGCCAGACGACCGCCCTTCTCGACCGCTGTCTGTGCCCAGTTGCGCCAGGCCTGGGCGCTCTGAGCCGCGTCGCGGCGCTGGGATACACTGAGCAGCCCTTGAAGATCCCGAACAGCATCAGGGCTGCCGTGGACGCCCGCTTGAAACACCAGGTCGCCTAGTCGATCAGGAGCTGCGCCAGGGAGAGCCCCACCGACCGAGTCGGCAGCCTCCTGCACCGCCTCTAGCAAGAGCTGCGCCCTGAGCTCGGCCTGGTGCCCGTACCAGTCTGCATGCCGAGGGTGCCAGCGGCCAGTCCTCTCCGCGCGCACCCGCTGGAGGGCCACGTCCAGGCAGCTCCTCAAGCGGTGCGTGAGGAGGCTGAACCTGAACCTGGCATCCCGCCTGACCAGGGCACTGAGAGGCTTGAGGGACAGCCTAGGCCCCTCTCCTCTGCCGAGATGACGGGCCAAGTCTGCCTGGCCGATGCCGTGGATGCCGACCAGGGTGCCTTCGGCAGCTGCCGCCCACTCGCTGAAGGCGGCGGAGAGGCTGGTCGGTGGAGTGCCTGCGTCCCAGGACCACGAGACGCCCCTGGGCGCGACCTGTCCCTTCTTGCCAACCGTGTAGCACACAATCTCGGCGTCCTCGTGCGCCCGAAGGAGCTCAGGGGCAACTTCGGGGAAGCGTGCTGGCCTGGACGGAACCTCCACCAACGCATCTGCCCGAACATCCTGGAGGCGAAGCAGGACTGGGCGATGAGGGTGTAGACCGAAGCCCTCGAGCGTGGTGGCGCAGGAGGCCGTGCAGGCTGCCAACGCCGCGGAAGCCACGAACCAGTCGTAGAGGTGGTCACAGCCCTCGGCATGGCACGTCGCCTCCGAGGGCCCCAGGACGTGCCCCCGCACCGCCGCGGGCCACCCCAACTCCTCCAGGGGCTCGGGCTCCATGTTGAAGTCGGCTTGGAGGACCCACGGGATGTCGGCAGAGAAGCCCGTCACCTCCGAGATGGCCGAAAACATGTCCAGGTTGGTGCCTCGAGGGCCCACAGAGTGCTGAAAATACCCAGCGAGCACCAGGAACCGCAGGCCAGAGGCGGCGGCGACCTCCACTCCGATGAGGCGGTGCCGCAAGGCCGAGGGCAGCGGGTACGCAGACTCGTCGGCCTGCAAGCCGTCTCGCACCAGAATCGCCACGCCGCCTGAGGTCGCCTGGGGCCCCTGCTTCTCCGTCAGCGCTGCCTCGTGGAGGAAGGCCGCGTAACCCAGGCCTCGGGCCTGAGCCACCGCACTGGGCAGGCGCTCATGCGGGAGCCTCGTCTCCTGCAGCGCCACTACGTCGGGCCAGTAGTCGTACGCCTTGAAGAAGGCCTCAATGGCCTCAATGCTCCTGCTCCAAGCGTTGCCATTGCAGCCGAACATGACGAGGCCAGATCGAAGCTGCTGGCCTCCTGCACTGTCAACCAGCGGCGCCTTGCCGATGACGGCTGCCTCGCGAGCGGCGCGCTCGCCAGCGCCCGACGCAAGGCCCGCCGCGCCCCTGGTCGCGGGACCCTCCGCCCCCACCAGGACTGGAGGGGGGACCTGGCCCCTCGCTCCAGCGCTCCTCATCGGCGTCGGCGGGCCGCTCGCAAGCACGGGAGGTGGCCGTCGCTGAGGAGGTGGCCGTCCCTCCGCCCCTCCGGTTGCCAGCGGGGGGTGCGCCTGCCCATCACCATCGGGGCCGAGAGCTGCGGCGTCGTGGGGCTGAATCCCACCGCTCTCGGCCCCTGACTGGCCGTCGGGGGGCCACCTCGGTGTTCCCGACCGCGCCAGCTGGCTACCTCGGGCAAGGGTGCTCGGCGCCGCCCGCCGCCTGCGAGGGGCGCGGACGCGCCAGCGGCCGTCGCAGCGCCTCCTCCACCTGTCCCAGCAGCTGGGCCCGCGCACGTCCCGAGGGGGAGGCGCCCCGCTGTCCTCGACGTCGAGGCCGACGGTGGAAGCTGACCACTCCAACGCTCCCGCATCACCCACGGCGCGGCCCGTACCCAGCAGCAGGAGCAACGACAGCAGCCGCAGCCACCAAGGGGTCGCCGTCCGAGAGGGCCGCCCCTTGCTCGGCGAGGGCCTTTGCGAGGCACGGCTCCACCTGAGGCCACGCGCCCAGGGTCGCCCCGTGCTGGCCGCGGACCGCAGCAGGGCCGTAGGGCCCGTCCGCTGGCCTGGCCCGCGAGGCTGGCGGCCCAGCCGCGGTAGGCCCTGCCTGCGTGGCGGCAGCGGGAGGGGCGGCCGCCGGCCCCCCAGAGGCCACGATATCGAGCGGCATGTCGTCATCCTCAGTCGCGAAGCCGTCGTCTCCGACGCAGTCGCCCCAACGCTTCCTGGCCGAGCTGCTGCTGGGCCTGAGCACATCAGCGACCGCCTCCTTCTGCGTGTTGAGAATCCCGACGATCTCGGAAAACCTGGGGGGCAGCTCGGCTCCGTGCTGCTTGAGGAGATCCGACAGGGCGCCGACTTGAGTGAGCAACCCCTGGACTGCGTCCCCAAGCGGGCTCGGAACGCCTCCGACAGCCGCGTTGGCCCGCTGGATCGCCTGCTGCGTGACCTTGGCGCTGGTCTCTTCCAGCTCGGCAATCTGCCCCGTGACCTCATCCACTCCCAACTCGGCTGCGGACAGCTGCTCCTGCTTCTCCGCGATGAGTTCGCGCAGCTCGGACGCCTGCAGCTGGAGCTTCTCCCTCTTGGTGCGTGCCGTGGCCAGCTGGCGCTCGACCTTCTGAATGGCGTTGGCCTCGATGTGGAGCACCGAGTGAGGGGGGCGCTCCGTCCGCTGGGCCTCCTGGACGGCCAGCTCCAGGGCGGCGACCTGGTCCTTGCCCTGCTGGAGGGCATTCTCCGCCTCACGCTGGAAGTCCGCCGAGAGCCCGAGCGCCGAGGCCCCCTGGAGCGTGTCGACGCGCTCCCTGGCCGCCACGAGCTGCGCCTGCAGCCCCTCGATCTGGGTCTTGGCCTCTCCCCAAGGTCGCGCTCGCCGTGCCCTGCTGTTGGGGGCGCTGCTGGGCGCGGTACTCCCAGAGAGGGCCCGCTGGGAGGCCGAGCGCTTCGCCGCGCGCTGCGCAGCCCTTCCCCTGGGTTGCTGCACGAACCCGTCTGCGTCCACCCGCGGGGGGGCCTTGTCGGAGCGGTACTCCTTCGTCCATGGGGGAGCACTGGTGCCGCACTCCTTGCACGTCCAGCGCTTGTCACACCAGTTCCAAGCGTTACAGCCACGCTTAGCACACAACCAGTACGCCCGCCTCGCCAGCCCCGAGGCAACCTCCGACATGGCGGCACCCAGAGGGACTGGCCGCTGCTCGGCCGAAACACTCTGCCCTGCAGGCGCGAAGGAAACCAAAGAAGGCGAAGCTTCTGGTTCGTGGCAGAGCGCCCCTCGCGCTCAAGAACGCCCGACGGACTCGCGGTCGTCGGGTGCGCCATGGCCTTGAGCCAAAATGGCTACGGACCGTGCTCTTGTGTGGTCTGCCGTGCTCCTGTTGGTCTGCCGTGCTCTTCTGTGGTCTGCCGTGCTCCTATGGGGTCTGCCGTTGTTCGGCCGTCTTGAGGGCACTCTTAGGGCATAGTCTGCCGTGCTCCTCGTCTTGGTCTGCCGTGCTCCTCGTCTTGGTCATCCTTTCCGTCGTCTTGAGGGCGCTCTTGGTGCCTGGTCTGCCGTGCTCCTCGTCTTGGTCTGCCGTGCTCCTCTCGGTTCCTAAGCCTGGTCTGCCGTGCTCCTCGTCTTGGTCTGCCGTGCTCCTCTCGGTTCCTACGCGCGGTCTGCCGTGCTCCTGTGGGGAGCACGGCAGACCACAGGAGCACGGCAGACCACACAGGAGCACGGCAGACCACACCTCGATTTTTTGAGGATGTCTCGAGCGAAATGGCCATGGTCTGCCGTGCTCCACACAGGAGCACGGCAGACCACCTGCTCATTTTCTGAGAACGTCCCGAGCGAAAACGTCATTTTTAACATAAGAGGTTGTAAAACACCTCTGTCGGCATCTCATTTTTTCGAGGATTTCTCGAGCGAAACGCTCATTTGTCATGCACAACAAAAAATTTTGACATTTTTCAACACCCCGACTTTCTGAGGATGTCTCGAGCGAAACGGCCATTTTTAACATAAGACGTCTTAAACGATAGCCTCCAACACCTCAATTTTTCGAGGATGTCTCGAGCGAAATGGCCATTTTGGGGGGAACCTGACCGGACAAGAACGGGAAGCGCCGTTTTTTATCCACCACGTGCGTCAGAGACCCTTTTCTTGAGAACGTCAGAGAAACCCATAAACGCAACAGAACAGACTAAATGATGGCCTGCCGCGTTCCGACGGCCCAAGACGGCCCAAGAGGCCCCCAAGATCGCTTTAAGATCGCCCAAGAGGCCTTCAAGATGGCCCCGAAACGGCCCAAGAAGTCCCCAAGACGGTCCCAAGAGGGCCCTAACACGGCGCAAGAGGCCTCCAAGACGCCCAAGATGTCTTCCAAGACGGCCAAGATGGCCTCCAAGACGGCTAAGATGGCTCCAAGAGGGCCCCAAGACGGCCCAAGAGGCCTCGAAGACGGTCTGCCGTGCTCCTGTGGTCTGCCGTGCTCCTTTGGGGTCTGCCGTGCTCCTGTGGAGTTTGCCGTGCGAACGTGTGGTCTGCCGTGCTCCTGTGTGGTCTGGCGTGCTCCTGTATGGTCTGCCGTGCTCTTGTGTGGTTTGCCGTGCTCCTGTGTGGTCTGCCGTGCTCCCGTGGGGTCTGCCGTGTCCTGTGTGGTCTGCCGTGCTCCTGTGTGGTCTGCCGTGCTCCTGTGTGGTCTGCCGTGCTCCTTCTTGGTCTGCCGTGCTCATGTGCGGTCTGCCGTGCTCCTGTGGGGTCTGCCGTGCGAACGTGTGGACTGCCGTGCTCATTTGGGGTCTGCCTTGCTCCTTTGTGGTTTGCCGCGCTCCTGTGTGGTCTGCCGTGCTCCTGTGTGGTCAGCAGACCCAGGGCTGAGGGAAGGCTGGAGCAGTGCTCTGGTGGTCCATCACCCGCCCAGCTCCGTCCCCTCCCACTCTGGATAGTAAGTTTCCCTGGGGAGCCTGGTTTTTGGTTTCAGCCAAGATTCCTCCAGACTATTTTTGGAATCGCCCAAGCCCCCCAACTTCTTATGATTCCTCAAGTTTCCTCAGGGTTCCTTAAGGCTCCTCCAGATTCATGGGGTTTCTTTTTTGGTTATCCGGATTCTTCAGGTGTCCTCGGGACTCCTCATGGTTCCACAGATCCATCAGGGTTTCCCCCGATTCCGACGGATTCCTCTGGATTCCTCTGCATTCATATAGGTTCCTCAGGGTTCCTCGAGTTTCCTCCGGATTCTATACTTGGCCAGGTTCCCCCAAGAAGCTCCCAAGAAGCTCCAACGTGCCCCCAAGAAGCTCCAAAGAGGCCCCTCGCAGGCGCACAGGGTCAAGGGGCAGGGTTTGACGTTTCGGGGGCCCTGTATGCCTCTTTTTGGCGGCGTTGTCGCTGGATCGAGCAAGGATCGAGGAAAGGAGGGTGAGTAGGAGGAGGGATGGAATCGAGGAGGAGAGTAGGAGGAGGAGGAAGAGCACATCAACTATTCCGTCGACCTTCTGTCAACAAGTTTGATCCTCGGCATCCGAGGGTCCTAACGGTTCGGCGGTTCGGCGTGAGCCTATGAATTATTGCCAGCGTGGACCCCAAGCCGTAGTTTATTGTTGTATGCGCGGTGCAACAGATGCTATGCAATGCATGCGATTACGAGCCATGTCCAGATGGTTGAACGAAGTAGGAACCCCTATCGCAAGCACTTATTTGGGGAACGCTGCAATGCCAAACCAACGGTGGCCCTGCAACATCGGCATAACATGAAGAACGAAGGAGGCGCACCTCCTCCACCTCGACCCTCACTTCCCTGCTGCTGCTCCTCCGCTTCCTCATCGCGGAGCCCGTCGAGAGAATCGGAAAGATGCAGTCGCCCCAAGTGGGCTCACCAGATATGATGTTAGCAATGTTGGGAGGTATACTTCAAGACGTGCATAATTCCCTACCTAGGCTCTGCCTAGAAGGGTTCTGACTGTTTTAGCTTAAAGGGGCCGGGCAGTGGAAAACGCCCCGGGCGGTTCCCCCAGGATCCGCCCCGTGGTTCCCCCAGTTGCGTCCCCTTAGCTTAGCGTTGCTTATCTCATCTTGGCTTAGCCTAACTTATTTCTTCTTAGCTTAGCTTAGCTTCATCTTAGCTCAGGTTTATCTTAGCTTGGCTTACCTTCATCTTAGCGTCGCTGAGCTTTAGCATAGCAGAGCACAGCATAGCATAGCAAAGCGTAGCGTAGCATAGCGCAGCACATCATATAATAGCATAACCCAGCATAGCATAGCATAGCATAGCGCAGCATAGCACAGCATAGCATATCGTAGCACAGCGCAGCACAGCACAGCATAGCACAGCGCAGCATAGCATAGCATAGTATAGCATAGCGCAGCTTAGCATAGCATAGCATATCATAGCATAACATAGCGCAACATAGCACAGCGCAGCATGACATGGCATGTCTTAGCATAGCATGCCATAGCATAGCATAGCGCAGCATAGCATCGCATAGCACATCATAGCATCGTGCAGCATATCATGGCATAGCATTGCATAGCATAGCATAGCAACTAATGCTGATTTCCTAGGGGCTCCAACTTCTAGGTAGGGTCGCACTGGGGTAATCGATCATCGCACATTCTTCCTGGCGCATCCGAGCAAAACGTCTTTGCACACTCCGCAGTCGAGTGATCCGTACAGTGAGCCCACGTACTAGTACCAGCCGCACAGTCGCACGGCACAACAAATTCTGACAAAATCTGCACTACCCTCGAGCTCTCGACCTACGATCCGCCAACGGGTGGCGCCATGCCGCTGCCAGCACTGCCAGAGCTCGACTTTGTAAGGTTGTCGAGCCCCTCTAACGCCCTCACGAGCTTGACCATCAGCTGATTCTGGGAGAACTTCGGATCGAACTTGCGGATGTCGGCTGCAAATGCGGTGAAGGCGTCCTTCTCGTCCAAGTCCATGTAGCTCAAACGTAACCCCAAACTTTGCTGCCCCTTGTGTGCCTGCTCAAGAATGATATGAGCAGCTGGTACAACCAACACAGAGCCAGGGGGCGCCCGTGCGAAAATGCCCTGCTCGAGAATGGCATTCGCTTAGTCGGGGGCCACCTGCTGTGGCGTCGGTCGGAGCGAAGCTAAACCCTTAAATGATCTGGCCTTGCTCTGAAGTCCTCACTCCTCCATCCTTCCTCTCTTCTCCTCCCTCCACTTCTCCTCCCTCCATCTCCTTTCTCACTCCTCCATCTCCTTTCTCACTCCTCCTCCTCCTCCTCCTCCTCCTCCTCCTCCTCTTCCCTCCGAAGATCCCGTGAAACCTTCGAGAGCTCTTTAATCATGTTGAACGGGCCCTGCTCCGGGAAGGCCTTGTCCAACGTCTCGTACTTGAAGATCACTACATCCCTGGTGCCACTGACGCTGAAGCGAATCGAACCCAAAGCAAGATGCTCAAAGTAAGCGCTGCGATGAGTTTCCAACGCCCCGCTGAAGCTCAGACCCATAGCAGGCACCTTGTCTTCCACCTGCAGTACATGAGGGATACGCGGAGCACACTGTCGCACAATTGCTTTCTGGCTAGCCACCGCGCCAGACGTAGCATTCAAGGGGCAGGACGCCCGGCCCGTGAGCGTCGCTTGGGGAGAGGAGGTGAAGGTGGCAGTGAACGAGGCCAGCCCAGCTTTGATGTTCCCGGTCTGATCGATGAAGGACTTGATCTTGTCCGCGACGTTGATCATGCACGGCTCGTTTGGGGGAGACCTCCCACCGAGCGTCTCAAACTCAACCATGTCCTTGTACTTGCAAATATTCTGAGCGACACCCTCCCAGCTGACGTCGAAGATGGTCTTGGGCGATTGGACCGCTGGCGCCGTCGCAACCTGAGCCCTCGCAAGAGCTCTTGCCTCTGCTTTTGCTTTTGCCCTCTTCTCCTTCTGCACTTGCTTCTCAGCATTTGCTTTGTCTTTCTGCTCTCGCTTCTGGTGCTGCTTCACAGCCTGCCCCAGGTCTTTGATGCCAGTGGCCACAGCGGAGCGGACTTGAGAGATGTAGTTGATACTCTCGATGATCGACTCCTCGAACTTCTTCAGATCCTCCTTGTTTGAGGTGTCCATGACCTGGGTGATCCTCTGCTTGATCTCCGAAATCTCTACCAGACACTCGGTCGAAACAGGGAGCTGCGCCTTGCTCCTCGTGTCGAGGGAGTCGACCTTCGTCTTAAGCTGGCCGCTGTGGATTGCCGCTAAGATGCTGAGGCGCA